ACGTACGACGTACGAGTAGTAGTAGTAGTAGTAGTAGTAGTAGAGAGTAGTAGAGAGAGAGAGAGAGAGAGAGTAGTAGTAGTAGTAGTAGAGAGAGAGAGAGTAGTAGTAGTAGTAGAGAGAGAGAGAGAGAGAGAGAGAGAAAGGGATTCGGGATTTGAAGAAAATGGGGTTTGTGGGAAAAGAGACGTTAGAAGGGCGCTGCAATTGTGACCGTTTGAGATGGAGCGGAGTCCTAATTGGAAATAAAATTACTGAAGCCGATAAACAAGTGATTTTCTACCTTTGCCCTTATTCCTACATTCTTCATTAACATCATTATGTAAAGGGTGCGGTTTCTATAAATATATGAAAATTTTGAAAGTGGACGGTTTAGATAATGTGTCGTAAGATACACTATTTTTTGGGACTCTGAAAATTTTTTTTTTCCATATTCATACATCTCAATGTCAAGATGATCGATTAGATGCTTCTTTCAACATTAAAACAACATTTCCAATGGATTTTTGAGGTGCATATGTGATTATACATTTTAAGGTTGCGACTTTATATAAACTTTTCCCTTATGCAAATTGATGTGATTTCATGCGGGTTGGACCGCATTTCTATAATATGCAGTCCACAAGTATAAAGCATCCATCGAAACATGGATGCAAATAGGTTGTCAATCTAAAAACAAGTGTAACTAACAGTTCAAATGTTTTTTTTAATATAATTATTATTTTTGTTTTCAATTTTTTTTTATTCATGATCTCTATGTTAAATATTATATATTATCTAAAAATTAAGATCAAATTATATTTAACAAATATATTTATGGCAAAGCCCGCATGTCTACAATATGCGGGCTGGCCGCATAGAAACCGTATCTTTTTGCCTTTTGCAAAACACACCTTTGTGGTTTGCCCTAATGTTACCAGAACCCGACCTGGGCTTCAACCGTTGATGGGCCGGTGAAGGGGCTAGTAAATCAACATCGGTCTAAGTGTTTAACCAATAGTCAAACAGGTCGAAATTTTTTCAATATAAAAAAAATAAGAATGTATATAATGAGACTATTTATCATTAGAGCAAGGTCATAATTACTTATGACCATTCTATGTGAAATCCGATAGCTTGGGTGTGTCACAAAGTTCGAATTTTCTTTTATTGAACTTTTGAGTTAAGTTAATGCAATTATTGCAACTACCGAATTTCACATCCAATAGTCAAGATTACTTATGACCACCTTGTACAAAAAGTAAATATTATGATGGGTGGTGCGCACTTGTGCACCGTACGATTTTCCCCACGTTCCCCCAAGCACGTGTGCATGTGCCCTCTGTATGCAGTCATGTGTACTTGTACACTGCACGTGCTCAACTCAACGTGTGTGATCCGTAAGCAAAGCATACCAGTTTGTTGCGTGCAATTGTGATGGGTGGTGTGCGCTTGTGCACCATACGATTTGCACCACATTCCCCCAAACACATGCACACGAAGTGGCACATAAGTGCCTTCAGCATGCTGCCTCATTGTATAGTTTTCTTTTAAAAATTCAAGTAAACGTAGAAGAAAAAGACTCTGGGAAATTTAGTACGAAATGAGAAATTATTTTTTAAAATTATTGTAAATTTTCTAACTATCTATCAAAGCCGACTCACTTTATTACATCGATTAATGACATTTAATGAATCTCCTTCCACTGCGCATTACCTTCCAACATCATTCTCCTTCATAATTTATCTTGTAGCATTGGACTCAACTCAGCTGCGGAAATTCCACGAGGTCCAAAAAACGAAAAGATCACCTGCTCTGCTGTGTCTCGATCAGCCTTATTCATTGTGGAAATTCCACAAGGTCCAAAAAAAACAAAAAGATCACTTGCTCTGTTGAGTTTTGAAAATCTTCTCCAAAACCATGCCAAGAGTTCCCTAATGAGTCGTTGCCATCAAAATTCAATTTTATACACTCTTGTGAGGGTTTACACAATCTGCCTTTTGGCCTCACTTTGATCTTTAAGTTAACTATGATAGCCACCTTGGAGGTACCTCTTTCTAGCCGAGAACCAGCTCCACACATTATGAACATTTTATTCTTAATAACGTTTAACTCCAAAACCGATCCTTCAAAAGTCAGATGATTCTCTCCTTCCAAATCTCCCACATAATAGGAGCTCTCATAATCTTCCGTAGCAATTGTCCAATCCAAGGCACTCCTTGTAAATTCAATTCTAGGAAGATCTTGCCATGTGTCTCCAGGAGCATCGATTGAATGCCCACGATTAAAAGCCCAATACCATATAGATGATGTAAACCTTCGCATCGATTGAATGCCCACGATTAAAAGCCCAATACCACATAGATGATGTAAACCTTCGATGCAGAAAAAGGTCATCTCCGCTCTCCTCATTCTCTTTGCACAATAAGCATATATTCACTAATATTCAGCCCTTTTTTCTCTGGTTATCAATTGTCAAGTTTTTCTTTTGCATAGCTATTCAAAGAAATGCCTGAACTTTAAGTTATTCCGAATGGGATAGTTCCATAGAACCGGCAAAGCCGACAATCAAACTGATTCAATAGTCAAAAGTGAGTTTTGATCTGTTATGTAAATCCCAATATAGTGCCTACTTCGGGCTGGACAAGATTCCGATCACCAGTTCTACCCGTTGAACTGCCCCAGTCCGGTTCTAATAACTTTAGTTTGCTCAACTTATATGGGCTGAACTTGGGCATGCACCCCCTTCACCCCAGTTTCCATAGGGTTGACTGGAGCCCGGCAAGGCCCTCACCTATGTTTTCTAATTGAAAAATCAGAAAAAGGTTTGTACATCCCTCCTCTGTATTAGTTTAATTAAAAAAGAATCCTGCACTGTTTGATCTGGATCGATTTTGATGATAATTGATTACCTTTAGCTCTATTGATTTTTTCTTTGGGCATGGTTAATCAACAAAATATCTTCATTTTACAACTCTAATTTGTGATTCTTGTGTTTTCTCTCTTGATTTCAATGCAATGATTTGGAATCTATTTCAAATGGTTCGTAAGAAGGCCCACTAATAAACCCTACAACAATTTGTTGGATCAAAAGCAACATAGAAGAAACCAAAGTTCAAAATTTTTGAAGCATTTTTACTGGAAATAAAAATCTTCCAATTCTCCCTCATTGTTTTTTACCAAAATCATTGAAATTTATCCCAAATGTTTCTTTCACATTGATCTACAAAAGCACCAACAAATTTTTTAATCACCAATCCTTAAGATTGATTATCGATTTTTTTAATCAATTTTTCTATTATTTTTTTTCATAAAAGTATTTTTACTTAAATTTCATTAGTTGAATTTATTTTGTTTATGAACTCAATTATTTGATTTCCAAAATATTTTATTTTATGTATTTTTATTTATCTTCTTCCCTTTTTCTTTGTTTTCTTTTTTGTTTTAAATGTTTGGCAAAGTCGACTCAGCAATTAATTTGACTTGGGACGAATGGGTGACTATTGTCCGGATGTTTTAATCCTTTGCCCCATGCATAGAAAACGGTGTTGTATCTACTTCTCGTTCCATTTATTACTAATATTTTAAAAAAATATTTCATAGCAGGCTACGAAGTATTAAAAGAGAAAAGGAAAATATCATGTTAAGGGCCAAAACTTACTAGAAAATCACCATATGATGAAAAGATCCCAATTAGCATTAGAAGTTTTACTTTTGATTTTTCATTCGACCTAAGCACCTCCTCAAAAAGTATATTAGAAGCTTGAAGAAACAAGAACATTTCAATATCAATATTTTGACCCATCATTTGATTGGGACCTCTTAAATGGATCAAATTAAGGGGAAAGGTTTTTATACTTCCCCGACAGCATAGAAGTTATATGCTTCCCCTATCATCCAGCCATCCAATTTTGATCAAGAGAGTCACTCACCGTTTGATCTTAGATCCGACGTCTCAAAGTATTTTATTTTTTATTTTTTTATTCAAATTTTATGAATATGAAATTTGGTACATTCCATCTTCTCATTGGGACGCACCTATAAAAAATATTAAAAATAATTTTTCGATAAAATATAATAACCAAAATACCCCTTAAAACTTTCAGAAGTATTTTGGTCAATTTATTTATTGAAAATATTTTTTTATATATATTTTTTGCTCGTCTGAGATTAATAGAGGAATGGACGTAAAAAAAGCCTTTCAAATTGATCACAATTTGGTCAAGAGACTTAAAACTCCAGATTACAGTGTAGTAGTTGCTGCTTTGCTGCTTCATTGAATTTGCTTGATTGGCTCGTGATTCTCTTTCATAACTACTACCAAAATCAAGTCCTAGGGAACACGACCTTATTGTAACGGTCGTGAAAATAGCTCCTTTGATAACCCGCTAGTTCTAATTTGAAGGGAAAAGTTTATATAGAGCCGAAGCTCTAAACAATCCCATTCGAGCCTACCTCGAAAATTTCACCAGATGAGATTGTTTTGATGCTCAAAAATTCTCAAAATGATCATCTCGACATTAAGATGCATGGACATGGAAAAAAAATGATTTCAATTTTTGGAATAATATATTTTATAATACATTTTTTGACCATCAATTTTCAAGATTTTCAAGTTTACATAGATCTGTTGATCTACACCATTGTTCAAGCTTTAAACTTTATAAATAAAAATAAAAATATATTTTAAAGCTATCGCAAAGATTTCTTGACACTATCTAAAAGTAGGCTCTAATTTGATTGTTTAGAGCCTAGGCCCTAGACAAACCACACCCTAATTTGAATGTTTTACCTCTTTAATGGTTTTACAAGAGATCTAAAGACCTAAATAATA